AAAAGAAGAGAAAGAATCGCACTATTGCTTCTGTCACCCAGTCAGAAGAAGGAAGATGTGCCAGAACTAGCAAATGGATCGAACAGTGGGCAGATAAGACTTTCATATGGCGCGATTGATCAATTGTGAGGCAGTCAGGCAGTCTCTCTCAGCGCTCTCTCACTCTACGTGCCTGCCCTATGGGCTTTCGCTGATAAGTCGCAATCTGCAACTGTTCGATGCTCATCCAATAAAAAGTATTTGTTTTAAAATTTTATTACAGCTTAGCAGAAGATGCTCTTTTAGCGAATGATTACAATCACAAATCTTGTCATCGGTGCCTAATGCTGCTGCTGCTGCTATTGCTGTTGTCGTCTTCTGTGAAGCGCATTATTCTGGCACCAATCATTCGATCGTGTGCTGCCCACTGTTCACCAGTGCCCGTTTGCCTGCTTCACGACTGCGCCCGTAATGCGATTTAACGTCGTCCTTTCTGGTCATGTATGCTGCACCGCCAGTCAAGTACAAGCACACCGACTGTGCAACAAAAAGTTCAGCAGGCCAGCTCGGCGGCAATTAGCTACCATTCAAAAAGTGCCCTTTTTAATGCTGGATCAGATATTTTATCTTCCAAAATCAGTTATTGTTCTCATTGTTAGTTAGGTCGTAGACAACAGCACCATTTTGGAAAATCATTTGAACTTACATTAAAAGACATTAATTAATCAATGAAAAACCACTTTGTATAGTAGTCGAGTAGTGCCTCGGTGCCATTTAGAGCACTTATGTCGTCGGTGTAAGTGGTAAACTTCATATAAAAAAGCTTATTTGTTCTGTTTTGAGAGGAAACACACAAAAGAAAGTACAATTTGATTGACTTTGCTTTCATTGGTGACTTTGTGACTGATAGAGTCAACCAGCAAAACAGGACAGGTCGCCGAGAGAGGCCAGACAAAGGTGCTGCCTAGCACTTCACCAAGTACCGATCAGAGCAATTGTGCAGTTCCGCAGCAGGGTCTGCCAAGCACCAGCCGGCAAGCAAGCAATTGTGCGCAGGCAAGGGCAATTGGACAGAGACAGTGTTGGTGAAGAGAAGGGGATCGCGCATCGAACACGTTGAAAGCATCACCAGACAATGGCGTTTACTTTTGAGGACCTTAGTGAACGGTGGCAGTGCGCTTGTTTAGTGCACAATTGGCTGTAGCCGCGACACCGAGGTCTTTTGTCTGGCTCTGTGCTCAGGACTCAAGTCAACAGAGTGCACACGCAGTGTGCAGTGCAAAGTCCAATGCCTTCAAGTCGCTTTGTCAGCTCTCTCGTTGTCTGGCCGCACTGCTTTCAATTCAGTCGGCCCTCGTACAAAGTAAACTATTTGATAACTTAATATTAGCTAAACAAACTTAATCAAATCAAAGTGAATAGAAAGTGAGCCAAATTGCAGCTTAATCGAAGGAAGAAAAAAAAGCAAAGCGCACGTTCCTGTGGTGACAATTTGCCACTGAATGTGCCCCCATACTGAGTCTTTTTAAAGCCAGTTTTTTGGCAAACCATTCGTGACACTACTTTTTTTTCACCGAAAAAGAATTACCGTGTTGGAACCAATTGCACAGGTTCAATGGCAAAATTGGCCGCTGACCAGCAAGAAGACNTTTTCTAAAGCCAGTTTTTTGGCATACCGTTCGTGACACTACTTTTCTTTTTCACCAAAAAAGAATTACCGTGTTGGAACCAATTGCACAGGTTCAATGGCAAAATTGGCCGCTGACCAGCAAGAAGACTGTTATCGCTGATCAATAATTAATTGCAGCAGCAATGAAGAGCAAAGACGAGTCGACTGCCGGCTGGCCATTACTACTACTTGAGTACATTAACTGAGAAGTACTTTTGCTTCCAGTACTTTACTCAACTAATGGTTTCATAATGTTCATTGAAGGCAAAATTATTCCTGAGTGGGACGATTGTGCTAGCACCAAATCAACGCGACTTGTTCTGAAACAGACCCGATGAGCGTGCAAGTTGACAGCTGATATATCGCTCACATTACTTCGATTACTGATTGCATATGAATGCACTCAATGGTGCCAATTAAAATAATTACGGGCAATCAGAGAGCAAACACAGCACGGATTTATAGGACAATTAGTACTAAAGAAAAATGCAAAAAAAACTTCCATACCAATTCGAGTTTTGCTTTGGTACTGGAAGCACTGCTGTCGCGTATATAGCGGACATTTTATGACAATATTTAATATATTACCATATTAGCACATTCAATAAACAGTTAATTGCTCTTTGGAGCATACTATTTGCTTAGGAGTGCAATGGCTCAGTTCAGTGCAACCTAACAAACCGCAAGACTAAAGTAATGTAGAATGAGCGAGAGTAAGAGAGAGAGAGAGAGAGAGAGAGAGGAACGAAAGCCAAGCAAGCGTGACATTATGAGAGTGAGCTTNCTAGGAGTGCAACGGCTCAGTTCAGTGCAACCTAACAAACCGCAAGACTAAAGTAATGTAGAATGAACGAGAGTAAGAGAGAGAGAGAGAGAGAGAGGAACGAAAGCCAAGCAAGCGTGACATTTTGAGAGTGAGCTTATAAAGCCAACAATTGCAGCCGAGCCATTGATGGGACAATTATTGCCATCCAGTGCTTTGCTTTGTGCACCACTGGTATCAATCGTTGTTTGTTTGTCTGACGGGCTAGTAGTCAGTGAGAAAGGTGCTTTGTTGTCGGCCATCGGCAATATATTCAAAGGCGATAATGTAGAATTAATTTGCCTTTTGTGAAACATCTCTCCACTACAATGGACCACAATGTGGCGGCCAGTTGGTGCAACTACGTCAAAGGTGAATTCACTATTGCAGGCAAGAAAACACTGCTGCTAGTCCATTTGCCAGCCCGATTGCTTTGATTCGTTTGTCAATGCTTGAAAGGCAAAGAAAAAGAAAGACATTTCTAAAGACTATTCTTAAAAACAGTAAACACCGGCAAACACGTGTACAGGCCTAATTACCGCATAGCTGGCCAAGAGCACTAGCGCCGTTTCCTTATTGACAAAATGTGCTTATTCATAACCATTAGCAAAACTTTGTTGTGACCCAATAGCTAATTATTATCAATGATCAAATAAATATAGAACCATTCATGAGAGCTCGTTTAGTGTATTCACTTTATGAATATAGTGATAGTAATAATAATAAAAGCAAACCATAATGGACCTCTCAAAAGTGCTTAACTCTGTCAGAAATGGCAGACTGAGGAGGGGAAAATGTTCACAATGCAGAGTGCTATTAGCGGTGGTGGAAAGCAAATTGAAATAGTGCTTTGCTCAGCAAGACCCGACAAGGACATGACGGACTGAATGAGGAAATAAAGTTTAATTAAATAGAATTAATTGGATTCGATCCCCTGGCACAAAGAGGGAGCGAGGATGGCGTCAGGAGAATTGCTGGCAGAGTTGCTGGCGCAAGACCGCATCAAGTGGATCGAAAGTGAGAGCAGAGGCATCCCCAGCAACTGCCCATTAGAGCAATTACCAAGTGAAGAAGCGGTGCTAATAATCTCCATTTTCAGTTAATAAATTATTGTATTATATCAACTCAGTTGTGATATCTTCTGAAGAAGAGGCTTAGCTGGCCAGCACTCTGTCAGCACAGTGAGGCTGAACATGTCTGTCCCAGCTTCAATCACAGTCTACCACTGGCAGGCATCTGCATTTGCTGCCGCTCTGCGAATTTTCCAATTATATTCACTTTATCTTCTAATCTTTCCATAAACTATCGAACTTCAGTTTTAATCTCCCTATTACGATCTGCAGTAGGCCTCCAGAGACTGGCGCTAGTATAATTTGCTGGTTAGCTCTCGCTCGCTCTCTCTCTCTCTCTCTCTGCCGTCAAAGCTGAACAGCTGTTTGGGGCAGACTGGCGTCCCACTTCGACTGGCACTGTGCTGGTCTTGCCAGTCCATGTCAGCGCTGATAGCACTGTGCACCGAGACAATTTGCTGCCCGCTTTGCCAGTTGAGCATCGATCCAATCCGAGTGATGCTGCCACTCAGTGCATCCTGTCACCCAGTGCTCCCCCTTATTCCTTTTCAAATCATTTAATTACTCTCTCTCTCTCTCTTTCCATTCTGCACTTTGCAGTTCAGTACTTGTTCCTGCGATTAATCCTATCAATTTTTAATTACAGCAAACATTGCCCATTAGCGAAATCACCGATGACAAACTGCAGTTAATCGATTTGATAATTGAGCTTATAAAAACTAAAACACTGTTTGCCTCTACAGTTTAGCAACTTTTTCTAATTATTGTTAAAAATGTTTCCTTTTACTTGGCAGTAAAAATAATATTATGAAAAGTAAAAAAATATTTTCGCTGATTCGTCACTGTAAATAAAGGAAAGTCTTAGTCGAGAAATGAATTGTCGGAGATTTTTCTGTTAGTGAACACAATTATTTCAGTTCGTTAGCAACCAGTTTAGCAATAGTGTTGAGCTGAATGTTTGTGGTTCCTGTGAACGAAAACATATGACTTTAAGAAAGACAAACAAAAAGAACGATGATTGTNCTGAACACAATTATTTCAGTTCGTTAGCAACCAGTTTAGCAATAGTGTTGAGCTGAATGTTTGTGGTTCCTGTGAACGAAAACAAATGACTTTAAGAAAGACAAACAAAAAGAACGATGATTGTGTTTACCTTCATAAATAGCTCCAATCTTTGCGTCGCGGTAAAACTTTTCCACGGGATAATCTTTAGTAAAGCCAACTCCAGCCAGCCACTCAACAGCTTTGGAGCTGGCATTAGCAGCTGCTTCTGAAGCGTAATATTTGGCCATGGCAGCCTCTTTAATGTACGGCAGACCAGCCTCGGAAAGACGAGCAGCGTTGTAAACAAGCAATTTAGCTGCCTCAATTTCTGTCGCAATCTTTGAGATTTGATGTTGCATTCCCTAAAATAACCAAATATCGTATATCACTAAAATGATTGAATAGAAAACATTTAAAACAATTAATAAACCTGAAATTCAAAAATGGGCTGGCCAAACTGTTTTCGTTCCAAAGTGTACTTGACAGCGTACTCAAAAGCCCCCTCAGCTAATCCCAACATTTGGGCGCCAATTCCAATTCGACCTTCATTCAACGTTTGAATGGCGTATTTGTATCCATGGCCAACTTTTCCAATCACATTTGATGCTGGTATCTAAAGGAACAGAAAACATATCAATAAATTGGAAACACATAAAACAATTTTTTGACGTACTTTCACATCTTCGAATGTGATTGGGCAAGTACTGGAAGCTCGAATGCCTAATTTGTCTTCGTTTTTAGCCACGATAACGCCAGGTGTGTCTCGATCAACGACAAAGGCAGTGATACCCTTGTAGCCAGAGCTAAGATCAATGTTGGCAAAAACAACAAACAAACCAGCGTGTTCGGCATTGGTGATCCACGATTTGGCGCCATTGATCACATAATAATCACCCTTCTTGTCAGCACGAGTTTTCAAGGCAAATGCATCCGAGCCTGAGCTTGGTTCGGAGAGACAAAAAGAACCCACCTGAAAGAAAGATTAAGAGATAAAAATTAATTTGTAAACACAAAAGATCATTATAACTAACCGTATCTTGAGCGATTCGAGGAAAATATTTTTCCTTAAGCTCTTCAGATGCATAGTATTTGAAGTTCAAGGAGACGAGAGTATTTTGAACGTCGCAAAAAACACTGACAGAAGGATCTACTTTAGCCAGTTCTTCAATAACAAGAATTGAAGAGAAGAAAGATGCTCCAGTACCACCGTACTTTGGGTCGATTTCAATGCCCATAAACTAAATAAACAAAAAAAGTTAAAGTTTTTTAACTTAATGAACCAAAGAAAACGAACCCCATTTTCAAAAAGAGCCTTGATGATTGAAGGATCCATCTTGGACTCTTGATCCATCTTCCGAACCAGAGGAGCAATTTTTTCTCGTGATACCTTTGCGGCCAAATCACGAATGGCCTGTTCTTCTTCACTTAACTTGGTAACAGGAAGATGACCACTAGAAGACATGCATCTGCTGCCCATCTGGCTCACATAGCCTTGTCGGCACATCTTGGCAAACTGATTCAGTTTGAAATTCTATTCAATAAAAACATGTAAGTAAAAGAATAAAAAAATCCATCCGGTTTTACCTTCATCAAATGTGAGGCCATGGTTATAGTTGAATTAAGTTTGTCTGCTGACACGATACAAGACAGCAAAGATGTTTAGTTGCCGGTGGCTATTTTACAAATAAGCGCAAAAACTTTTTTGATATTGAGCCTGCTTCAAGCACTTGAAGGACTTAAGATGCGCAGAACAGAAAGAAATATGAACGATAAACAGTACCGTCCTCTCGAGATTTGTTTCTTTTGATAAGCAGATTTTGGCAAGTAACAAGTGATAAGGGTTCTTCACGAGCGCTATCAGTGCACACTAAAGGTCAAATTTCGTAGGGAGACAATTCTAACAAAAGTTATAATTCTGATAGAAGTGGTTCTTTATTTGGGTACTCATGTGCCCAGATGTTGACTTGTAATTTTACATTTAGATGGTGTTGAGATGCTGTTTTTATTAATTTATTTTACAGCATTAAAAATGACTGTTATTGTAAGATTCAGGAGTACCAGGTAAATAAAAAAACTGCCTAGGACTGTTTGAGGAAAAATTACAAAATGAAAATATTTGCAAATGTTTTTCTAGTTGACTTCCGAAACTGACGCTAGAGGGCAATACTGAGCCATTTCATTTTTAAAAATTCAGTTTCAGTTTAAAAATGCATTCCCAACAAATTATGTGCTTGACAATTTATTTTGCTATACCGAAAATCACTAATACATTTGAAATATTTAAGATTCAATTTTCTTTCGTTTGTGGCTCTTGACTAAAACACCCGTGATAAGCCCATAGTGCAAGTGGTGAAAGGGCTAAAAAAATGATAACTATTTTAGCTGTTGTTGTCATGAGGGCATCAAATGGAATTCGAGCGTTGATAAAGTAAATCGAAAGCAGTAACCAGCACTGAATAATTAGTACTCCAAACAGTTCCTTTCCTTCTTGAAAAGCAAGCAAATTATACTCGCCACTGCTGATCACGATGGAAAGTGCTTTGTAAAACAAATACAGTGAAAATATAATGTACAGTGTTAGTAGAAAATACATCAACTTGTGAAAGATGTCTGAGTGAATGACCTTTTTAAAGTCAAGTGCAGTGAAAAAAGATACCAGACAGGGTAGCGCGTAAACTGTGATCCAAAAAAGTGCCAACTCGTCATTGTGCTGTACATAGGAAGCCAGGCCGAAAAAGAGACACATGATTGCATTCGATAGACGCCAAGTGAAGTTCATCTGTTGAAATACAAAATACTCGGATATTGTAAGTTGTAACATAAGATTACATTAACTTTTCACTCCCTTTATCAAATTACACCTGTCAATCATGCATTTTTGTTTTATAAAAAATGGTAAAACTTCTACTTTGTCTAAAGAGATTATCCATGGCATTTTGAGATATCTGAGATGTTGTATTTTTAGAAAAAAAGAAGAATATTTGTCAACAAGCATTTGCATTAACGCTAGTATAAGTCAGCAANTTTGAGATATCTGAGATGTTGTATTTTTAGAAAAAAGAATATTTGTCAACAAGCATTTGCATTAACGCTAGTATAAGTCAGCAAAGCCAATCACCGAAGAGCTCAATACACCTTGATTGCTGATGAGCAAGAAGAAGACTGCATCTAAAATTAGAAACTTGTTGAGAGTCTAAAAGTAGGCTACTAAATACAGCTCGGAATGCTGTGCGCACTGACCAAAGGGCAAACTTGCACTCCGTTAGTCGGCCAAATCCTTGACCTTAACTTTCCTTTCAGTGATTGCACTTTTCGAGAGTGCTCTCTCTGATGCTATAAATTGTGGAATACACCAAATTGGCTCCCTTCTCCCTCTCACTCGGTTTTTGGCTGTCAGCTTTGAAGCATCAAGAAAAAACTCTTCGTTTACTCTTTGTTACAAGACAACTCCATCATGCGAATTCACTCTTCCTTACTGCCTATTGCCCTCTGTTTGGGTCTGGCTGTTCAAATTGCCTTTTGCACTGAACCTAAGCAGATGCAAAGAAAGCAAACAATGCCCAGCTTTCTCAGCACAATTGGCGCATTGGTTCCTTCAGTGGTGTCCAATGTACTTCCGCTGGTGGTCATGTTCAGCATTGGAGCACTGCTTGTTCCCACTTTAGGTACTGTCATGCTTTATTGTTACTGAATGTTGTTTAATAACTGTTTCAACAGGATTGTCATCTTTGCTGCGAAATGGAAGACAAAGGTAAGTTTTCTAAAACTACCATGCAATTGGTACAACTAATTTTTATCCAATCAACAGGTCTTTGTCTACCTTTACGTCAGAGGCTTCGGCGTTTTTTGAATCCGTCGGTGAAGTGTTTGAAAAGTTTACACGAGCCGTTGACAAGATGGAGCAAAAGTATCACTAATTGTGTTACTGTGTATAATTTATTGTTATTTATTTTAATCAATTTGAATCAGTTCGGCGGCAAATAAATGTCAAAATAAACTTACCTTAACAGGAGCATTCAGTGTGCTGATCGGTGCAAATAGGTCTCCCCCGAATGGCCGACCGAAACCGATCACTGGCCTATTTATCAGTTTTTCCCCAAACCTTTTGTAATCGGAGACAAGTGTCTGAGCGCATCTTTTTCTGTCTTACCGCTGTCTCAAAGTGTCATCCTTTGTGAGAGCAGGCCGGATATTGCAGCAACAGCAGCATCAGCAGCAGCCTGGACTAGACTGGTGTTTACTTGATAGCAGGTGATTTGCTCCAATGAGCACATGTTTGACGGGCAGACCACCTTGGTAAAACAAAGTTGTCGTCTATATATTGGGTGACATCACAGCCGCGAGAGCACTAGTGTCATTCCCTAGCGCATCACAATGCACTACTTGCTTCTTCTCGCCGTTCTACTCGCTTGCTTAACACTAGCCTCACTGCAGAATGCAACAGACAATCTGACGACAAGCAGTCGAATGAGTGAAGTTCTACACATGGCCAACACTTATCCCTCGCCGAGAGTGCATCAGCAGTTTAAGCCCCTTGCACTGACCGACCCACTGCAAATGGGCACCCTGGGTTCTGGACAAATGATGATGGGCACACCAAACTGGCACCCCCAGCGTAGTCACCAGCAATACCCGCAATACCACCACCATTTTCCGGCTCATGTTCCCGGCAGCCCAATAGTACCACTTGCAGTTTCCTTCAGTGTAGGCTATCTTCTCTTTCGTTTGCTTGCACTCGGAGCAATTTTCTTAGAAAAAGGTTCAAGTAAATCTTTTTATTATTAATCGTATAACTAATCAACCTTTTATTGCGTGTAAAAAAATACAGAATTCAGCCCTTCTTACGGTTATGGAAACTGGAAAATGCAGGACACGAAACTGGATCACCACTACTACGGCCGCTCTGCTCTGAACAGCAACACACTAATGCACCTAATGGAACAAGTACACAAGGCACTAGATAAATACTCGCCGAGAAGGCCGCTTTGAGTTTCACACTACTAAATTATATATCTTGCATACTATAAATAAATATTCCATTTGACTAAAATCTAAAAATACTTGATGTTTGTTTTTATTTCAAATACAAAAGAACAATTTTTGTGTTTTTTAGCAAAATATTTAAAATACAGCAAAAGAAAATAATTAGCAGCAGAAGTGTAAACAAAGCGAGAGTGACGTTAGGCTTCGATGATTTGAAGATTCTTTAAAAATTTGTATTGTTTCATTGGTGTTTTTAAAGATTGATATAGTCAACTGGACACTGTCTGGCACGCCTAAAACACTCACAACTATCAATTGTTTTCCCTTTAATTAGAACATGTCACACAAACATTCTGGTGCAGTATGTCACCTACTAGAGCGGGGAATCATCATTTTCACCTTCTCATTCTTTCCACCTGAGCGCATCAAAAGTGTTTTTGGATGACAAACATTTCACTACTCATCAACAAGGCGTCCATTTGCCAAGAAGCTTCCATACGATTCAGCTGGCACCTTGAGAAAAAGCATCGTTTTATCTTGCATTTTCAAAGTGTTTTATTTTACCATGGCACAGCTAAATTTGCTTGTGAGCATTTTGGTTTGCTGTTTCATGATTAACCAATTTGTGATTTGCAAGAAAACGATCATCACCACGTCGATGAGTCCGCCTCATATGACAACCTCTAACCAAGGTGTCCCAAGAAATCGACAAGAACTCTCACAACTAAACTCTATCGTAAGCAAAAAAATTTACTAACAGTGACTTTCAGTTAAAATGTTCTTCAACAGGCACAAATTGAATCGAATCCGACTATTCGAGCTTCTTCGTTTATGGTTGATCCTTTAATAATTATCGGTAAACGTGCTGTTAAACACAAAACTTACAGTTTTTTCACAACTATTATTTTGCTTAATAACAGCTCTTATTGCGCTGCCGACCATTGGAATGCTTGGAATATCATCGCTGATTATGCCTTTAATTCCAATTGGAATATATTTAATTCAGGTAACTTGCTTAAAGCTTGGTGTAACACCAATTAAATTGTAACTTTACTTTACTGTAGCAATTTTTCCCTGCTGGCGCTGGACGGCGTCGTCGGTCGGCAATGCCTGATCACTGGGAACATCAACTTCACATTTTAGCCGGAAATTTTTACCGAATGCTTGACCGATTCAGTGCGCAGTACAAAGCATAAAAGAGACACAGTTTTAATGGAAAAAACGAGATGTGATTATAAAAAATGAAGAAATAAAGTGATTAACCGATACACATTCCCGCAAGTGCAGTTGGTTGTTATTTAATTGGTAAACAGTTTAGATGTAGGCTATGTTTAGATCACTTTAGCTTTCAAATGGTTTTGCAATGCGTCCTTTAACTAGCGAAGCGCGACAATTTAGCCATTCTCAAGTGTTGCTCTGCAAACGTTTACCAATGCGCGCGAGTGGTGAGTGACCAGTGGAAGTGGTCAGCGTACGTGACCAAGTGATCTATGATTCACCGAGTGGCACTGCACCACACACTATTGACCTGACCCCAAATGCTCAAATTAGAAAAAGGAAGAAGGCGCCCGGTGAGTGCGCCAGTCGTCCAAACCAGTTCGACACACGGGCAAGCAGGCGGA